TCCGTTGGGATAAATAACGCACGGTGGCGACTCTTCTGTTCAGCCGGCGCCGATTTTCGCAGTAGCGACAAAGGGTAACAACTCTTGGGTATCCATTTCTTCAAACTCTTCTCTTTTTGTATATTGTGCATTTGTCATTTATTACCTTTGTTGAGTGTTGTTGTGTTGTGCACCTTGTGTAAGGTCCCAAGAGGGACCGAGAAACCTTTTGAAAGAACCCCAAGAAAGAAAGATAACAAAGAAAAAGTTCAGTTTTCTCACCTAACAGGGCTGACACGGGCCGTGTCACATGAAACGGGCGGCTGTGTCAGCCCGCTGTTTGAGTTTTCTTTGCGCATATCCCCCAGACCTTCTGACACGGGCGGCCGTGTCAGCCCGCTGTTTGACATTTTTTTGCGCATATCTTCCAGACCTTCTAACACGGGCCGTGTCACATGACACGGGCGACCGTGTCACACCCCTGTCTCGCCTCAAAAGACCATGTTGTAGGCACCTTCTGACACGGGCCATTTTTTCATGCCGTTTTTTTTTGTGTTTTGTGTTGTTTTAAGCCAACTAACTCGTTGTGTTTGTATGTTTTTTGTGCGTGTCTATTGTTGGTCATTTTCGACCTTTGGTTCCAAAAACTATTTTCAAGAAAACAAACTCTCGATTCACATCGAGCCATTTTTCGACCTTGTAAGTCGATTGCCTTGTGTGTCGCCATCAACCTTGTTCGTATCACCTCAAACTTTTTTAAGCAATCAAACCCTTGATCCAACGTCAAACAGATTTTCTCAAACAATTGTTGAACCAATTCACCATCTTTAATAAAAGGATAAAGTTCTCTTTATATTGAATTAAAGAAAGAGGATTGAGTGTAGACTTCTTCCTCTCCTAGTGTTGGGATACTCGCTGTAGAGTGTGTGGTCTTCATACTCGTCTTTCAATACGAAGACATAACCGTACTCGCCACACCTCACTCTCCTAAAACCTCGGTCTTGTGCCGAGTGCCTTTTTCAAAATTCTTTTCACAACAGAAACTTGAATGGTCATGGAGTGGTTAGGCGTAGGCCTTCTCCTATCCCGAGTGCTTGACATTTACCGTAGGCTTTACAATCGTAAAAGCACTTACCATTCAAAACCAAAAATACTTTAATAAGAGAATAAAGTGCTCTTTGTTTTGAATTAAAGAGAGAGGATTGAATGTAGAATTCTTCCTTTCCGAGTGTCAGGATACTCACTGTAGTGTGTGTGGTCTTGATACTCGTCTTTCAATACGAAGACGCCATGTTCGCCACACCATTTCATAACAAAAACTTTGAGATAAAGAATTGGGTACTACCCGCAAGGGATTACTATTCGAGGATCTATTTCACCCCTAAAAACAATTCCACAAATCAAACGCGACACCTTGCCTCGCATGGAGAAAACAAACCTTTCAAAAAGGATATGTTACGTCCGTTCTACCACAAACAGGTAATGCCTAAGTCTCCAATGGCCGAGCAGCAATATACCTAAACTACTAGAATGCACACGATAACATCATCCATGAAAACAACGGTTAACCTTATCCCGAACTACGTTTGCTCTGATTTCTCATGCCAGATGAGGATACATAGGCACAAGACGACGATGTCTTGGCGAGCACATTCCCCCTCTATATCCGTAGTCCCCCGAACTACGTCGACTATGACTTTCTCATATCTGTTGAGCATACGTAGGCCTAGGACTACGAAGTCCTACCGAGTATGTTCTTTCTCTCTTCTTCCCCCGTTATTCTCTTTCCCCTGTTTCTAGCCCTTCTCTTTATCCCTTTGGAACACTCTTATAAGCAATATCTTTTAAGCAAATACCTTCACACATCAACAAATAAATGGTTCCCACCGAGTACGATGGATGCGAAGGGTGCTAAGACCTTCCCTTCGCATAACCGGCTTCCGAACCCGTTCTTGGTCGCGAGACCATCTTATCTATTCTCTTCTTTGGGTTTTCTCGATATTTTCCCTTCCCCTCATGGGATAAATAAAGTTCGGTGGCGATTCTTCTGTCTATCTTTTCGCCTCCCCGTCGTCGCATTTTTCTAGTAGCGACACATACGTCCCCGAGATATTCATCCAGTGATAACACACGTCCCCGCAACATGCATCTATACCTAGCGTCCCTCCCCAGGACATTCATCTAACCCTATCCTATGTCCCCGGTCTGTTCATCCATACCCTGTCGTTCGTCTCCGGGACACTCGTCCTAATACCTCAGGTGACCTCGGGGGCTTCATCCCAGGTCAAGGGAATCCCGCCGTGATCGCCGGAAAACCCACATCCTCCTCAGGACATTCATCATGTCCACCACAAAGGATGCCAAAAATAAGAAAAATGGAAGAGAAGAATCAGAAGACTTACTTGATAAAGTAGGCTAGGACGAGAGACGACAGAATTCTCGAGGACGATACGGTGGTTGTGCTGCACGATGGTGCGTGTACAGAAGATCCATTGATGACTTATGATAGTGAGTGAGAGCGAAAAGTGATAAAAGGGAAGGCACCTGCCTATTTATAAACGCACCACAAGACTCGAAGCACCCCTAGGCACTTGAGTTCCCTAGGGTAGCCCCCCTAAGTTGAGAAATGGGTGGTAGACATGTGGCCACCACAAATGGTCACGTCCCTTCGTTCCCCCTCGAGCACGGGGAAACGGGCGCCCGACAATCTTCCGCCTCCTCGATATGATAGTCTGACGAGCTCAAAGCCCCGTCCCCTTATGTCCTTGACATGATAGTCCGACGAGCTCAAAGCCTCGTCCCCTTATGTCCTTGATATGGAAGTCCGACGAGCTCAATCCTCGGCCCTTTTACGTCCTCGACACAGTTGCTATCAAGTCATCACTCCTCTGCAAGCCTAACCCAACATTACATGGGGAAGGTCCAACAAGACCCAAATTCCCCATGACGGGCACAAATCTAGATACACCGTGTAGACACGTCCCCTGTTGGGCAGAACCACATGTCTTTCACACAATCTCCACGTGCTCCCCTACGCGTGGACACGTTATCAGGCAACTACCCACCTCCGGAAGATTTGGTCAGACTACCTTCTGAAGATCACAAAGCAGTTAATCTAGGGCGAATACCACGTGCTGGTCTTCACTACGCCACGTAAGCCTTAGCAGTTGCTTGGAATGGGCTTGGCAGTCTGGCCCAACACAAGTAACCATTGGCCCTGCGCTGGAGTCTCTCTATAAATACCCTATTTCACTAGAGGGTCAGGTATTTCATTCTCTACTCCATTCCTATATTTTCTCCCACTCTGATCCTTTACTCACTTAAGCATCGGAGTGCCTTGCAGGTACACCCCTCTCTAGTACATCAGCAGTCCGGCAGCTCAGACGCGTGACCGGCCAGCAATCTCTTCTGATCAGGTACAATCAAAAGGCGTGCTGACAATTCTAGTACTTCTTCTAGAGGAAGGAACAAGGTTTGGAGGAATCTTTGAAAGTTGTCTATAAATAAGCGTGTCAAGGATTCTACATGGAGATTGGTGAAGAATATTCTCCCAACCAAGAACGACTTGAGAAAAAAAGGTATTCTCGTTGACGATTCTTGTCCTCTATGTCATTTGCATTCTGAAACTTCTCTCCATCTTTTTCTCCGCTGTGATTTTGTGAAGAGAGTGTTCATTGTCTCTCCTCTGGGTGTTCGTGTTCCGGATGATGGAAAAGTGATGGATTGGTTCACTGAGGTGTTAGCACACAAAGATGGTGTGGTGAGGTGTTAGCACACAAAGATGGTGTGGTGGGCCAAATGGTTTGCATTGGCCTATGGGAATCTGGAAGACTAGGAACAATGGTGTGGCTTCAGATCCTCGTGTTATGGTTGTCTACATATGGGAGTCCATTGAGGAAAATATTGAAGTGATTAAAATTGCTGCAATTAAGGATCACTGGTATGGGGAAGTTCTGAGGGGTAGGAATTCTTGGGTGGTTCAAACAGATGCAAGTTGTTTTGAGGATGAAGTGGTGTCCCTTGGATGCGTTATTAGAGATTCTACTTCCAATATTTTTCTTCCTGCTTCTAAAAGGATTATCAACCTTACTAATGCTGCCAATATGAAGTTTCTAGCCATCTGTTTGTCATTGCAGATTGCAAAGGAGTTGAAGGTGAACAATTTCATTCTTCAATCCGACGCGCTAGCCGTGGTGGATTGCATCAACGAAGTTGATTTTAGAGCAGCCTTAACGCTTATTGTGTGTGACTGTAAAACTTTTATTAATGACGTCAGTAATGTTACTTTGACGTTCATTAGTAGAGTTTGTAACTTGGATGTCGACTATATGATGGGAGTTTAAAAATCTTTGAAGTCCATTATATTTTTAATCTGGATAGTCTCCATTGTAATGCCATTTTAACTTTCTCTTAATTTATCTTTCATTTGATATAAAAAAAAAAGAGTGATGATATGTGATCACCAAAATATCATAATATACTATTGAAACCGTATTCTTCTCTCACTATCTTGTAACTACTTTTTGATTATATATATTTTTATAAATACTTTTTATAAATCCAAAACGTATACCATACACCAAAAACTGCAAAGAGTATAGTGTAAAAATTGTGAGTGTACAAATATCATATTTGATGATATAATTATCGTAATGTAGTTGGTGTGGTGTGCAAGTTTGCTATTTGAACATACTATAAACGGCAGCTCTACGAATAATAATACTAATTAGCTGCTATTCACAGAAGAACAAACAAAATATAGAAAAACAAAGGATAAAGAAGGTTATCTAAAAATTGAGTGATATGATTCTTTGAAGGGCAGTAAAAGAAATTATTACTTTTCTTGAGAAATTGAAATTGAAATTGATAGACTTTGTAACAAGACATTACATTTGGTTTAAGAGACCTCACATAAACTCACCTCACGTTACCTTCGCCTACATAAATTTGTATCTCTTTATGTATTAATTTAAAATACTGCTTTAAGAGATAAATTAACACACTAAGAGGTTTTAACAACAATGGCTTCTATTTACATTATCACCATCTTTCTCCTCTTTTCCACTGCATCTTATGCCTCTAGTCTCACTATGAGACCACTACATCAACGTCGTGCATGGATTGAGTCAGAGGATGCATTGTCGAAGGGCTTTCATATTGCTGACATAGTTGTTGCTGCAGATGGAACTGGAAATTTCACTAGAGTGGTTGATGCGGTGTTGTCCGCACCTTTGCGCAGCACGAGACGTTTCATCATACACGTGAAAAAGGGGGTTTATAATGAACACGTTGTTGTTGGTGATGATAAATGGAACATTGTTATGATTGGAGATGGCATGGATGCCACAATCAGCACTGGTAATTTGAGTGAGGGTCATGACCATGTGGGTACCTACAATTCATCTACCTTTAGTAAGATATTTTACAAGCTTCTACTTTTCTATTCAATTTTGTTTTATATGATTCCACAAAATTATATTTCACAAAATGTAATATGTAAGTTTGTTTGTTGGGCGACTATATTAGTCTATATGAGACTTTTCATTGTTTTATGAAGGTCTGTATTAGTTTATCTGATACTTTTCATTGTTTCATGAAGGTGTCTTAGGAAGAAGATTTATTGCACAATACATGTCTTTTGAGAATACTGCAGGGGCGCTAAACGGGCAAGCTGTGGCTTTATTATCAGCCTCAAACCAATCTGTCTTCTACCGATGTGGAATTTCCGGCTACCAGGACAGTTTGTGGGCCGACTCCGGTCTCCAATACTATAGGGAATGTAAAATCCGTGGCAGTGCGGATTTTATATTTGGCAGAGCCGCTGCCGTGTTTCAGTACTGTCAAATATTGGTTAGAAAAGGGTCAACCAACCAGAACCCCATCGCGGCCCAAGGTGGACCATACGATAACAAAACAACTTTTGGTTTCACCTTCCAGTTTTGCAACATCTCAGCTGATTTGGATCTTATTCCATACCTTGGCTCGATTCGGACGTATCTGGGAAGGCCTTGGCAGAATTACTCCAAAACCATCTTCATGGAATGTCAAATAAGTGAGGTGGTAGATCCTGAAGGATGGCTGAAGTGGGGTGGCACCGACCATGCTCAAGATACACTTTTCTATGCGGAATATAAGAATTATGGGTTAGGAGCTGGAGTACAGAAACGGGTTAAGTGGCCAGGGTACCATGTTTTTACTGATCCTAAACAGGCCTTAAACTTCACGGTTGCGCATTTGATTTCTGGATATTATTGGTTACCATCAACCGGGATACCTTTCACTCCTTACTTTGGATGAGAACTATCATTTATATTAAGTTTATTATGCAATTAGAATTATGTTTCGATCAAATATCAGGTTTATGATGAGAATTTATGTGCACGCCGAAATCGATCGAATATATTATGATTCCAAAGGTTTAATGACTAGTTGCAAAATGTAAATGATAGTTCCCCTCCCCTTCTGAACCAAACACATTTTTAATTAAAATCCCTCCCCTCCCCTCCCCTCCACTCTTTTGAACCAAACACTTATTTGATTAAAAAATTCCTTCACCTCCCCTCCCCTCCCCTCCCCTTCATTAAAATCCCTCCCCTCCCCTCCCCCTCATTTGAACCAAACAGACCCTTAATGATCAAATATACTTAAAAAACCGAAGTTTTGACGACTTACAATCCAACAATATCGGTCTTTATATTTTAATCAAGTAATTTTAGTTTTTTATCTTTCAATTTTTAGTATTTCCTTGCCATTCATTATTTTCATAAAATATATTACTTTTTCAATTTTAAAAATAATAAGAGATTAAATTATGATTAATAGTAAATAAATTGAAATTTGATAAAAATCATTTGTAATCAATCTGGAAATTAAATGTCTTTGAGAGTTCAGTATGAACCCCTTACCATTCAGTAAAAGGGATGCAAATTACAAATGAGAGGTGTTCGTCAAGTGTAATATTAGAAATAAAATATTGAAGGGATCGTTCGAGACGTTAAAGACGTATTGAAGAATCGAAGTGCACATGCAGCCAGCAGAAGAAGAAAGGTAAAAAAACAAATTTTGTTAATGATTCAGAATAGATTCATAGGGATCTAGAAGAAAGGAATGACGCTATTACATGGGAATGCAAGAGAAATTGGTAAGGATGTGTGAGACTTAGGTAAAGAGGTTGGATTGATCCATAAGGGAGAAGAGGGAGAAATAATACAAAAATTAGAGAAAGAAATGATTGGGAAGCAAGGGATAAAGAAATAAAAGCCTAATAAGGGGTAGAAAGGAGTACTTCAAGTGTCAATTAAACATAAAACTGCTATTTTACAACATCAGGGGGCTAGAGGGTGTGGCAAAGTGTTGCACCCCAAAATTTGCCTAATCTTTTCTTACTTGGTTTATGTTTCATTGCATTAGCATATCATTGATCTAACATTTGCATAGCATATCATTGTTCATTTAACAGGGGATCAAGTGTGGAGCCTATCTAGAGGTCTTATGCAAGCTTGAGAAGTCACCATAGTCATCAGGAAGAGGGTTGGGTTCTTGAGAAGTTCAGTTGCTTGTATGTGGTTAATCTCCTAATCTGAGGACTAATTGAAGATCATCAAAGGATTTTGAGGTCTTGATCAAGGAGAGAGGGTGTGGATAGAGATCATAGAGTGTCTTGGGGGTCATGGTGGAGCTCAATCAGTTCATTGTGCCAAGTATGAGGAGCCACAGTTGAAGGTGTTGCAATTAGGATTTTCATCTGAGTAATCCTAAGTCAACTGGGCAATTGAAGAGGATCAAAGCTCAGTTCTAGGTCTTTGTAATCATGGATAGTGGTTTTGAGATACATGAGATGATATTCCAAGATCAATCCAAGAAAAGTTCAAGGTGTGAGGAGTTGCTAAATTAGGGTTCTCAGGGTAAAATCCCCTATTTAGTGCCTAACTTCAAGACCACTTATCTCAAGATGCAAGTTTCATCTCCACTTTTGGCCAACATGAAACTTGTAGAGCATGCTCTTAGATTTAATTTGAATACTAGAAGTCCTCCATTGGATTTATAGAACTTAAGTTATGGTTTAGACAAGTTACAGGTCATCTGAGGAATGTGAAATTTGTCTATGAAAGTTCATCAACTTCCAAGGAACGTTTGACCTAGAAGGGTGTTTCTCTTGAACTTTTGGCCAACATGAAAGTTGTAGGTCTTGATCTTATCTTTCCAAATTGTACTAGAAGTCATCCATCTGATTTGTAGAACTCAAGTTATGGGTTTTACAAGTTAGGGGTATCTTGGGAAAGTAAGATTATAGGTCATTTGGCATTATAGGTCATTTTCTCCATCTTGCAAACTTCAAATGCAATTTTGTTCAACACAAAACTTGCTCAAAATGATGTTTTTAGGTCAAACATATACTCATGATGAATTGATTTGGATTTAGGTGAGACTTGGTTTGAAGAATTTTGCAAAAGGAAGAATTTAAAGGTATTTGATTGAAAAATTCATGATCAATTCATTTGTGCTTAAAATGGACCATATGAATACTCATTTTGATCATAAAAACAATTCTAAACACTTTGGAATTTTTATAATTTCCATTTGGGGTCAATTTCATGGTGATATAGCTTGTACCTTCATGAATAAGCAACGCCTCATAACTTGGTTATTGGATGGATTCGAGCACTCAAGTCATTCTAGACTTTTTCACCAAACTACAAGGAGTTGATTGCAAGCTTCCAAGAGAAATTTCAAGTCAGAACATGTGCACACCATGGTTGGTTTTGTGAAGGAAATTTGAAAAATGGATTTTCTGTTTTGGGCCTCAATTGGACCTCAAAAGCCCATGAATCATTTGTATTTAAGTTCTGTGAGAGATTTTGCTCCATTTTGGAGATCATTTCGCGCTAGAAGCAGAGATAGCAAGTTGAGTTTCAAGAGCTCCAAGTGAAATCGTGTTTTTAGTTTCAATCCAGATCCAAGCAAATTGAAGTTCCAAATATGTTCCTCATCAAGCATTGAAGCGATCTGCAGTGATTTGAAGCTAGAATCGTGTTCTAGATTCCTCAATTTGAAGCTCAAAGTCAAGTATGTGGTTTTCAAATTTACACTGGTTATAGCATGATCTAAGCATGATTAGTATATGGATAGGTTTTGAATTGAGATATAGATGAAATCTGGATCAGAAATTTGAGGTTTAGAGACAAATTAGGTAATGACATAATTTCTGTTGAGGATCGTTTCTCCTTGATCTTGAGGTTTTAATTCAATTGGAATAACATGTGATGATCAGTGATAGATGAGGATTACATTCATACCAATAGTTTAAGTTTTAGTGAGAGTTCAGATTGAAGTGCATTTTGAGATCTTCTTCGTGTTTTAAATCTAGTAGGATTTAGAGGATTTGAATGTCATATTTGAGATCAGGAGGAAATTTGGAGTGAGATGATGTTAAGTTTGCTGAGTTTCCATGACCTGTAAGTACATGCTCACCGGAGAAGATGACTGGAGGTCATCTCCGGCCACCGTCTGAGGGCTTCCCTCCATCTGAGATTTTGAACGAGGACAAAGGCTATGGTTCGTTGGATCAGACTGAAATTAAGACTTTGTATGCACATCGTGTGGTCATGACTTGATCTGAGGGTTTGAGTTTTGGGATGAAATGCATCGTTTCATTAATCCTGGCTGGCAGCTACGTGGCGTGTGAGTTGGACAGCTTGAGAGCCTTTAGATTAGCTTACTGAGTCAACCCATCCAACGTGTGTGATATTTTCTGGCTTATTTGATTTTCTTAATTCATTTTCATATTATTTTAATTGCATTTTCATACTTTAATTCATTTTAATTTCATTTTTGATCAGAAAAATAAAATAAAAATATGCTCATGATCCTCTCTTCATTTGTGATTTTTCTATGCTGTTAGATTTAATTTTTGATGATTTTGCAATTTAATTTGATTTTTCTCATTTTATTGAATCCTTTAATTTTACATATTTGATACATGTTTTTGTTGATTTTTGTTCTTGCAATTGGTATGGGATCTTGACCTAATTTTTTTCTAGATTGTAGATTAGAGATGTATGTTCCCTCACGAATTTTCTTTTGTTTTTTAGATAATCATAAGTTCTATCTTGGATTAGGGTTTTAGAGCCTTCCCTTTCATGATTTTCCTTTGACACTTTACAACTTAGGATTTTATTAGTTGCCTTAGAAGTTGAATTAGGCTCTGATATTTGGACTATAGGTTCTTAATACTTGCATGTTCGCTTAGGAAAATTTGTAGATTTTTAGAATCTAGTTTGCTTTTTTAGATAGAATTTGAAATTAGGTTGTTTATTTGGTGCTCCTAACTTGGTGCTTGCTTTGTTTTGCCTTCTTTGGTGGCTTTTGGTGCATGGTGAGCTTGTGCTTCTTCTTGGATGATGTTGTGGGCATGTTGTAGCTTCTGTGGAATTGATTGTGGGGCTTGGCTTGGAGTTCTTCTTTCCTTTTGGTAGCTTCTTTGTGGCTTATAGGAATTAGGGTTTAGGAAAGAGCTTAGAAGTAGTTTTCTTTCTTCATTAAAAATGGATTTGCTTTGTTTGCTTTCCATTCTCATCCTATGATTCAAGGTCCTTATATGAAAGCCTCATCCTTCCTTTGGAATGATGTGTGGCATTTTGCAATAAGTAGAACCTTTGAGGATGCCTTTCTCAGATGACTGGTTGAGTGTCAAGAGGGATTCCTTTGGTTTCCTTCTTGCTTCCCATTATCAATCCAATATCTTGATTTGATTTTTCTTCTCTTGTCTTGGAGCTTGTTGAAGCATGAAGATGAAGATTTTTTTTGAAGGTGGTTTGGCTTGAGGTTGTTATTTGCAGACTGTTTGTCTGTTTGCTATTTATCTGCTTTGCTGTTGAGCTGTTTTTCCTGCTGTTTTTTCTGACTGCTCTGCTTTGCTTGTGTGACTGATTGACTGTGTGTTGCATTAGAAGTAGGTTTCATATATATGATTATAGACCTAAGAGCATCCTAAGGGTTGAGCTTCTCCCCTTGCTTGTATTGCATTAGAGGTTGAGTTTCTCCCTCAGCTTGTATTTTTACTGTGTGGCTTTGCTTGCTGGTATTTGGTTGAGCTCAACTCCCTTGCCTGTGTGGTGTGTGGCCTTTGTGCCTTTTTTGTTTAGAAGTTGAGTGCGACTCATTCTGCTTGTTTGTTGCATTGCATGCATTTTATTTTCAGTAATTTCTTTACAGTAATTTCTTTTGCTGTTTGTTTTCCTTTGCCATGTTCCCCTAGGAACTCTGACTTCTCTTGTTCAAGAGAAGTTATGACAGAC